CATCTAAGAATCCGCTTCAAACAAAGCACCTCTGATATTTTAGCTTCGCAGAATAATAGAGAGTCATCTGCAAATTGAAGGTGAGAAATCACAACACGATTTGATCCAATGACAGCCCCTTGTAACAAATTCAGTTCTCGAGCCTTCTACAGGAGTATGTTCAGAGCTTCTACAACCAAAATAAATAGGAAAGGTGATAGTGGATCACCTTGCCTAAGGCCTTTTTGAGGACTAAACTCCATGGTAGGTGAACCATTAACAAGGACTGAGAGTCTTGCAGTAGAGACACATTCTTTTATCCAAGAAGACCACTTAGCACCAAAATCAAAATTTGCTAGCAGTGAGAAAAGAAAGTTCCAATTAATGGAATCAAAAGCCTTTTCGAAATCTAGCTTAAACAACAGCCCTTTTTTCTTAAATTTTGACCAACTATCCACCACTTCATTTGCAATTAGAATACCATCAATTATATTCCTTTCTCCCAAGAAAGCTGATTGAGTATCTCCTATAATCATGGGCAAGACTTTTTTAAGTCTGGAAGCAAGGACTTTTGAGAGAAGTTTGTAAATGGCCCCAACTAAGTTAATAGGCCTAAACTCATTCAAACGGATGGCTTTATCTTTCTTAGGAATGAGAGAGATGAAAGTACTGTTCATACCTAAGATTAGTCTGCCATGGGTATAAAATTCCTTCATAAAATTAACCACTTCCTCCTTAATTACCTTATAATATTTTTGGAAAAACATCAGGTTGAAACCATCTGGCCCTGGAGCTTTATTCCCATTGCAATCTCTAACTGCTGCCCAAACCTCTACTTCAGTAAATTCCTCTTCGAGCCCATGGAATGAGTCACTGTGCCTTGCACTTTTAAAGTCCCTAACAAGCACTGGTCTGATCAACCATTCTTCTGTGAAATGCTTTGAATAATAGGCCCAAACTTCATTCTTAATTTGACTTGGCTCATCAAGAACTAAGTTTCCTTTTGTGATAGAGTTGAGTGAGTTCCTATTTTTTCTGTTGGTGGCCGAAATATGGAAGTATCTTGTATTTCTATCTCCTTTCAGATTCCAGTCAAGCCTTGATTTTTGAAGCCATTCCCATTCCAACTTCCTGCTCAGTCTCTACATATCATTTCTGGTCTCCATTTTCAACTTCAGTTCCTCCTCATCCAGAGGCCTGGTTTCAGCTATCAAATCCAGTTCATTGAGTTTATATTCGGAATTTTCAAGTTTGGAAGTTACATTACCATACACCTCTTTGTTCCATTTTTTCAAAGCCATCTTCAGATTATAAAACTTTCTTTGTAAGACATAACCAGTTGATCCAGAACATTGATATTGTTGCCAAGTTTCCCCCACAAAAGAGGCAAAATTAGGATGCAAAAGCCAAGCATTCAAAAATTTGAAAGGTTTAGGCCTCCAATCCCTCTCATCCTCTATGAGTACAATTGGACAGTGGTCAGATACTATTCTTGGAAGGTCCCAAAGTTTGAATTTATATCTCTCTATCCACTCTGGATTAATGAGGAATCTATCAATCCTACTCCATTTGTTTCCATCAAAAGCATTACACCATGTATATTTTCGCCCTATCATTTACAAATCTACCACCTCACACTTGTCTATGAATTCATTGAACTCTTTCATGCCCCTATCCCTTCTTGATGTTCTAACCATTTCTCCTAAATTTTGGATCTCATTGAAGTCATCACCAAGGCACCAGGGCTTGGAGAAGGAATTTTTCAGAGTGAACAGTGTTTCCCACAATTTACCTCGGCTTACAACATCATTTGGAGTATAGATGTTTACAATTACACAATCAAATGAGTTTTGGAGTTTACCTGAGAGTAGTATAAAATTTCTATTACTACAACAATCTGACATTTGGAAGACACTGGGGTCCCAGATGCATAAAAGTCCCCTAGACAGCCCAACAGCATCCACAGCCATGTATTCAAAACTATCTCTAGGCCAAAAGCTATTCACTATCAAGTTAGACATACTTGATTTTTTGGTTTCCTGAAACAAGGCCAAATCGATTTTCCTTTCGAATAAAACTTTCTTAATCTTTCTTCTCTTTTCAGGCCTTCCAGCCCCTCTGATATTCCAACTCAGTATCTTCATTAAAGTTGCCATGTCACTGATTCCACCCAAATGGAGCTGATTAAGCCCCTGGATCTATCCCTCTTCCCATCCTCTCTTGGTCTTTCTTCGGTATGAGGGTTAATTGATTGATTACTTGCGCTTCTTGCCCCTTATAGTCAATACCCAGTATTTTTCCCAATTGCAATGTAGCATAAGCTTCTTGATTTCTGCCGGCTGATAGGCTCTGAGATTGTGAGCTTTGATTTGAATTTATTGTAGCACTGTTGATTACCTCATTTGCCGGCCCTTTGTAATCAATATCCAGTGCATTCCTCAACTGTGATGTAGCACAAGCATCTTGATTTCTGCTAGCTGATAGGTTCTGAGATTGCGAGTTGTGGTTTGAATTGGTGGCAATACGAGGTCTTGCCATGGCGCCTTTACTGGTGCCACAACCTTTCTGACCAAACTTAGCAAATCCTGAGAATCTACCAATGAACACGAGATTCTTGTTTACTTCCTTTTGCCTTTCTTTAAGTGAGTATTGATGGGTGCTGAGAATAAGGGGCTGTATGAAAAACTATTATTAGAATGGGAGCCCACATTAGAGAAACCACACCTTGGTCGTGCAGAAGATGGATTGCGTGGTAAATCTTTAGATCTGATGGGTTGGACACAGCCATGGGCTGCCCCAGTGGGCTGTAGCCCAGAATGGACAGAGTGTAAGTCTACTTCCAAACAAATGCCAGGATTAATCTTGGATGGCCCACTAAGACTCTTAATGAAACCAGGCGTTAGAATCTGACTACCCACCACTGTAGGTGCTTTCACAACTAGTTGAGGATCATGATTGTGTTCTATTATAGGGACCTCCATACCTATGTGGTTGATGTGATTAGACCAATGCTTCTGCCGCAGACTTCCCTCTGGTGATGATGATTCTACCACACAAGTATTGTCTTCATTTGAATTTCCCCCCAAAGATTTAGTCTCCTCTACTGCTGAGGCATTGCTCCAACTACCACCAACCTCCAGTCCAACATTGTTTTTCGACCTGCAAGCCATGGATGCATTTGACACCGCATATTCCCTAGCCACTTCATCTACTCTGGCAGCACCCTCTACCTCCCGATTGGTACCTGTGATGGGCTGGTGATTAATTTTGGAGCACCCATCTTCCTCAGCCCCATTGGTAATAGTTCCCTAGTAGCTAAATAGTGTATTTTCTGAATTATACTCTTCGTAAACTCTTATGGGATAAAGTCTGCCTTTGCATTCCAAGTTTAAACACGTGCTAATGGGGTCCATAACACCAATGAGTAATTTGAGCCTCCCACAACGAAAAGATTTGGGAGAGCAGATGCTATCATTCATGATAACCACCTCCCCCCATAAACTTCCAATCTTCTTGAAAGTATCTAAGTTCCACAGGTTGAGGGGCACACCGTAGCATCTGATCCAAACATATATCTCCTGGTGGAGATGCATACCAGAGTGCCACTCAGTGATGAACTCGCACCAGTCATGAAACCAAACTTCAAGCTGAGATTTTCCCTTCAACAGATCTTCTCTGGAATTAAAGGAGATGATTGCATCTCGACCTCCACCTTCTCTAACCAGCACGCTCAACATACCTCTCTTTTTGAGCTCATATTTCACCTCCTGAATAGAGTATTTCATTTTAAGCCTCATGATCAAGCTGTCAAACAACCATCCATTGCCGATCTCTTCTACTTTGATAGTTGTCTTAGGTAGGGATTCTGAATCAGTGCTCTTGATAACATCTGCAAACGTTCTGCCATCAATCCTTTGATTCCAATATCTGTTGACAATCGAAGCAAAAGGCTTGCGAGACTCTGTTTGTCTAGCTGGTTGTAGATGTACTTTCCTCCTATCATCTGTTCCTTTTCCATACTCTGCGGTTATGACTACCAGCAATTTGTCATCAACCCACAGGCCATTTGTTTTCTGCGCTGCTATTCTGGCTGAGATAGAACAGTCATACCTGATGAACCCAAATCTCGTATTCGTCGATTTCCTTCTTTTGCTTGGTATGAATGCATCATTTACTACACCAAACTTGGAGAATAGTTTGTATAAACTTCTCGAGTCCATAGATTCAGGAAGGTTGTCCACAAAAAGGGTGAATAGACCAGCCCTTCGATCTTCATACCAGGATCTGTGCGACTCTTGCCTTCCTCTCTGCTTAACCACTGGAATCCAACCTCCTTCTCTTCGCGATTGCATAGCAAGAAGTTCAATTTTTAGGTGTGTATATACATATGAAGATATTTTTGTTGATTGATCAAAAGATTTTGTTTTGCTGATCAAAAGAAAAAAAAAAAGTCTACTTATAAATGTTACTAAATGGAATCAGGATCTATTAGCAAATGTCTTAATTCTTACAAAATTTTTGCATAGAAATCATAATCATGGCAGTAGCATTTTTGAAAATTTAGGTATCATAGTAACATTTCTATTTCTTATTTTTTGTTATTGTTTTTATTTATAATAAAATAAAATTGATTATAAGATTTTTTTTTTAAAAAAAAAAGAAAAGAAGAAAGAGGAATAAAGGGTTATAGATTAGCCATATTACAAATTAGTGGAAATCATATTGGGTGCAAGTTTGGATTATGTAGACTTACATCAAAAAGATTTTCATTGATTTGTAAAATATTTTGATCTTATACATTGATACGTTATTGCCCCCTTCGTCCCATCTTTCTTATCTCTTTCATCTTTCTTAACTCTTTCCATTTTTATATATTCAAATTGGTGATCCAAAATATAGGAGGAAATGGACATTTAACAACCCCCCAGTCTTTTTCATTTTGAATTTTTACCCAACCAATGGTAATATTTTACAATATTAAAGGTCACAGCTAATGCCTTTAAAAGTCCTAAGCATAGCTAAAAATTTAGAAAATTATCTACAGGGAGCGGTGGGAAGTGATGGTTGAGAATTCCAACCAACCAAACACACAAAAGTACCAATACAAGTCTACCACCCCACATCTACATTCCTAACACTCACAGCCTTTAAAACCCCCCTTTCCTATGTACTAAAATTTCCAAATATTGCCTGAGAAAATCCCAAACCAACCATGGCCAAGACCAAGGGGATCTGTGCCCTTCTGCTAAGGGCTTTGGCCTTGGCCGCGACAGTCGTGGCAGCCATTGTGATGGTCACAAGTCATGAGAAATCTACCTTGTTTACTGTTACTTTCGAAGCAAAGTATAGTCATACACCGGCATTCAAGTATGTTTTTTTACTTAACTTTTTTGTCCAAATGTTTTTGTTTTCTTGTTCATTTAGTTTTTCTTCTTCTTATTCTTGTTCTTCATGCAGGTATTTCTTGGTTGCAAATATCATTGGAGCTGTGTACAGCTTTATGGTTCTTTTCCTTCCTGCAGAGAGTATGCTCTGGCGATTAGTTGTTGCCTTGGATGTTGTAAGTGTGTTTCAATGCAGATTTAGTTTCCCCATCAATTACAAAAAGTCTATTCTTGTAGAGTTTTTATACAAAATTTATTATTACAAAAAGTCTGTTTTTTGTCTTGGTCTTCATTTTTTTAAAACTAAAAGATAAAAACTTGTTTGGTGATCACTTTTTTATTTTAAATTCATAAAAGTATAATTGATCCCAATATTTAAAAAAAAAAAAATTGGAAATAGAAAAAGCTATCATGGTCGCCACCACTTCCAACCACCACCACCACCAAAGGCCATCACGGTTACCATCCACTAATTGACGGTGAGTTTTGGCCATTTCTGTAATTATTTTTGATGACCAGACAAACTTCACCTATGACCGTCTGACAATATTTCAACCACCAACTTTAGTGGTTGTACCCCACATCTAACCACCCTACACTACTAATCACCACTTGTGAGAACTTACTAAACATATTTCTTTATTTTTATTTTCATTTTTTTCAAATGATTTGTGTACGCTGAACAACTTTTTGGTTTTTTTTTTTTTACTTAAAAATAAATACAAATGTATTTCCTATTTTAAAATAGGAAATATAAAAAGTTGGTTTCGATTCTTTTTAAAAATTGCTTTCTCACAAAAATGAAAATGGTATGAAAACGATGAGTGTTTTTGAAACTTGTCCTTGCTTTATTTCCAAAAACTCAAGAAAAAATTGAAAAACAAAAATAAAATAGAAAAAGAAAAAGAAAACACAAACAAACAGAAGGACATCTAAAATCAATACTCGTTGTGTCATTTAGTATTATTATTTTTATTTGTACAACTATATTCAATCTATTTAACTCAGTGGGACATTCTATTGCCTAATTAATGATGTCTGGCAAAGGGAATACTACATAAGAGTTCACAGTTAACCTTACTAGTTTTAAATGATTCAAATATTCTAATATTGGACTTTGTTTGGATTAGGTGATCACCATGTTACTCACATCAGGCATGTCAGCAGCCTTGGCAATAGCTTATGTGGGGAAGAAAGGGAATACATATGCTGGTTGGCTTCCCATTTGTGATCAAGTTGAAAAGTACTGTCAACATGTTGGAGGAGCTATTGCCGCTGGCTTTGCTGGAGTCATAATCTATCTCTTGCTTCTTCTCTACTCCATCCACAATGTCCTCAATCCTCTGCTTGTTTAGAAACAGTTCTTCGAACTTCGAGTGATTCTCGGTTCAATTTTTAGATGCGATTGTTGGGAGACAGATGATGATTATGACAACTGCGAAGATTTTAGAGGTTGAATTAAAGATCCGCAGAACGTTATGTATTTTGATTGTTTAGTTTGATTGATGATTTTGTTGGTTGTATGTGTAGTAATTTTAAGTACACTGTGAATTAAAGAGTGTAGAATAAAGAAAAGTGTGATGTTAATTGGCAAGTATTTGAGAATTCATGTATGATTTGGAAAATGTCATATTCAAGTGTTTTTTTTTTTAAACCCAAGAACAGAATTGAGTGCAATACATACCCTTGTGTTTTTTATTGAATTTATAAGTAAGAAAATGGGGTAAATTCATATATAGTAGGTATAGTGTCACTCATCAAATGAATATTAATTAGAAATAATGTCAAGTCAGTTTAAACAAATCTAATTTTAGTGCATTGGAGTCCAGTTATTTAGCAAATTCAGTGGTGTTTTGAGAAGTTGGTAAAAAGCTAACTTTTTGACTTTTTTTGTGGCTAAAAAAACTAGCTTTTGTGATTTTTTTTGGTAGGTTTTTTGTGTAAAAAAACTAAAAAATTAAAAAACTAACTTTTTTAACCTCTTTCCAAAAGATCCCTCAGTGTTAATTTGACCATTTCAATCATGATTTTGACTTCAGTAATTGGTGATAGAAGCAGTGAGTATAGTGTAGTGACCCTCATCCTCGTCTTAGTCATGTTCATATGCATTTGCATGTTTTGTTTTGTTAAGCTTGCACTTGCGGTTTTGACTTGTTTTGCCTAAAGTAAGGTTTCCGTCTTGTTTTTGTACCTATGTGTTTTGGCTCGAGTATTGTTTGTACGTCTTGTCCCTTGCTTGGTGTGTGTAGCCGAGGTCATCTTAAGCCTAGGTCACGCCTTTGGACCTTTTACACCTAGGACCATCTTGGAACTACTTTGGCTGACCTCCACCTTCACCGCGGCATATTGGTCGAGGTGTCGTCATCTAGGCCGAGGTGTGCATCACCTAAGCCGAGATGTTATCATCTAGACATTCTAAATTTTTGATCCCTGCACTTGGTGATCTTGTTCCTGGATTGGTATTACCTAGACCGAGGTGTGGCACATCTAGGCCGAGGTGTGGCATAGCTAGGCCAAGTGTTAACCTTCCTAGCCGAGATCATTGAGACCTTATTTGCTGAAGCCTTGTCCTAATCCGAGGTCCTTACCTGCCAGAGTGCCCATGTCACCTTACTTGTTGAACACCCTTTGTCATGCTCTTGTCTTGTCTTTCAGTCACCTTTTTGAGGAAACTCAATCCGGTAGTGCCACGTGCCCCAGCAGAGGGTTAAGTCAGCCGGCAGTGGAAGAAAACATATCATTGTGTGTCATATTTTGCATGGTAGAGAGAGAAGCTCTAGGAAGAAGAGGAAGAAGTTCTTAGAGTGAGAATAGATTTCCAAGCTTGATCCTTAGAGTTTGAACTATTGGATTCGTGTTTTGAGGTTAGATTCTTGTTTTTCTCTTGTTGTTCTTTATGTTCATCCAACTACATTGTATGATCTAGCATGATTCATGAGCCATGCATTGCTTTGAAATTCGGTTTTAGGAAGAGAAAATGATGTTCTTGTGTTCTTGAAAGAAAACCATATTTTGATCCGAAAGTTTGTAACAAGATCCATGTTTTTGTGTTTGTTTTCATAAGATCTTCAAGTATGGGTGCCAGATCCATGCTTTCGAACTCATCTCATGAAATCTCAGATTTTGAATAAAGAAGTTATGATTTTAGCATTCATGTTCTTCATGTTCTTGTCCTTCATGTTCTTCAAAGGGAAACCCAGGTTTTCCCGACTTCATTTCCTCGAATGTGGTCGTTGGGAACATACCTCGGCCAAGGGGTGTGGGACCTCGGCCAAGACCTAGTTGGTACCCAGCATGTTTTTCCCGATATGAAAGACAGTGTTTTAACTTCCAGCATATTTTGCTTTGACTTAACCTAGTTTTGAAATAAATGCCAAGATCCTTTCCTGTCATGTAAAGCTTGTTCTAAGGGTGCATTTCATATCCATCTTGAGCATCTCTTTTTGTCTTCTTGAAATGCATTCAATGGAATTTATTATGTGCTTGTAGGCCTTGGATCCTTGCTTGTAATCCCCTTACCCGAAGAGCTATGTGAGTGGTATTTTTAATAAAGTTATGTTATAAAATTTTGATAAAGCCTTGATTCGTTTTGGAAAAGAATTTGATCAAGCATGAATGATTGTCCTTAGTTTTGTATCTAGTATTATATTATTTTGATGACATTCTAGGAAAGTCCTTAGTGGCAGGGGACTATAATGCAACTGCACTCTTGTTTTGAAAGTCCTTAGAGCCAGGGGACTATAATGCAACTGCACCCTTGTTTTGAAAGTCCTTAGTGCCAAGGGACTATAATGCGACTGCACCCTTGTTTTGCCACTGACGGTTTTCCGCGTGGGTTTGTTTGTCCGGAATGTCATCCCTTGTACTATATTGATGCTAGTAAGCATCCCTTGAAGCTTTGAAAGATTTGACAGATGGATTTGGTTCATCCTTTGATTTTGTACAAGATATGCTATGTATTGTTTGATAAAGATCTTGATTATCAGTCATGCAAACCTTTAATTCTAATATCATTCACTGAGTATCCAAGCTCACCCTCTCTTTATATATATGTAGGTGACGAGCAAGAAGGCGGTGACGCCTAGATGTGTTTTGCATGATGTTTGGATTCATACTTTTGCTAGCATTTTGAAGATTATGCTTCTTGGCTTTGTATTTCACCCCTTCTGATCAAGATGTAATATGTACTTTATTTTTATCTGTATTCAAGTTATAGACCATGTTAAGATGTATGTCATTTCATTTAATCTATGCACAGCTCTTATGGACTAATTAGATTGAAATTTATTGCTTCCGCATATGTAAGCCCCATATGTATACTCTGTTTGTGTGTGAATCCTTGTAAGTTGGCCTTTGGTAATCTTGGATTGCTGGCCGTCACGGCACCGTTCTACTAGGGGCAGAATGGGGTCGTGACATACAGTATACTAAAAAAAAGAAATAAAAAGAAGTAGGTCACATCATAAAAAAAAAAAATTCTAAAAATACAAAAATAAATAATAAAAATAATAGAAAAAACATAGATACATGTGAGATAACATCTAATATATTATGATACATAGAAAATAATATATAAATACAAAACCAAATCATATACTGTTCATGAAATCTAACAAGTTCTTCTAATGCACACCCATAATGGCATTAAAACGTTCTCAGATTTTTAACTTGTGTCTCAATTTTGCTTTTCCTCATTCAACCCAATAACTGCAATAACATTCCTCGATCCGAAACTTAGTCCAAACTCAGATTCATCAACAACCAGTGAGTATCCTATTTAATCACTCTACTTTTTGATGCTTTCATTTCCAATTTTCTCACTTCAATTTCAGTTAGTTATTATCATCAATTTTGGAGTGTGTTTTTGAACAAATCATTAAAAGGAAAAAGAACAATCTTTTATGTGATTAAGGTTTAAAAGTATGATTAATCCCAATATGTATATTCTAAACCAAGAAAGTATAATCATAATCAGCCCACCCAAATTGGTAAGTCTCCAATGTTCTCCACCAATATTGCAGTGCCACCGTAGTACATAATAAATCAATTATATTTTCCCAAAAACCATAAATAGGACCGAGTCTGTTTTAAGATTATTAGAAAATAGTACCAAACTATATGGAAAATACAATTTAAAAAATATGCAAACGGTTTTTTTTGGGCAAAACCAAAACTAAAATAAATTGACAAAATAACGTGATAAAACTTACAGTACATAAAAGGATAAAACCTGATCGAGTCGAGTGTGTGACACTTTTTCCTTAAGACAGATTCGTCCTCCCACCGGTGCTTAGGATTCAATGGACGTCTATCTCCCAGGATACAACGATCAATGTCTTGCACTAGCAGCACTACTATTGCAAGCCTGGCGAACTTTGCTGTGCATGAACTCTCTTTATAGGAAAATTAGACTTAGGAAATATGAAGAATAAATACAAAGTGAAGAAGAATGACAATTCACCCACCAAATTGAAGTGAGGGAGATGGAATATATAGACTTCTATGTGACTCTTCAGAAAGGTTGTGACCCTTCAAAAGGACACACCCTTCCATCTCAAGAGACACAACCAATGGAGTAAATTTAAATTCAATTTTTTCAACACCTAGTAGTGTACTTGTTGCGGATGGGTTTTGTTTGCACATGTTTTTTTGGTTATGTTCAATTTGAGGCTATTTTAGCATTTAAATTTACTTGCCAAACACCCCCTAACTGGTGCCTAAAAGCACTCCCTATATTTGAAATTTGAAAAATGAATTTCAAAATTTGAAATATAAAGGCACTAATCTTAATCATATAATCTAACAGACAACCGTTGAATCTTCTTCTTAAAATTGATCTGAGTCATCTAAATGTCTACATATGACAAATGTCTCTAACACATTTTCAAAACTAGCCTTATTTTGTTATATAGATAGAAATGCATTTTTGGAAGCTAAAAGATTCTTACAATGTGACATTAGAAAGAAAATGGCTAACTTTCTTTCATAACAATCAGGTATACCAAAAAGGAAAATTGTGTGGGAGGAATTTCCTAAATTCCTATGCCTATTTCTTAATTTTATTTTACAATTCTGATTTTTAATATCACATCTAAAAAAAAATAAAAAATAAAATAAAAACTTGTACAATTTGATAACTCTGTGACTATTAAATGATAACCCCAATTTTTTTCTCTCTCTCTCTCTCTCAACTCTCTCTGTTAATTGGGGATGGGAGGCTCATAAGTTTTTGGCTGGATCAATGGGTTGGTGGTGACTGTTTAAAGAACCTATTCCCTAGATTATACTCTGTGTCTATGCAGCAAGGTATATTAGTGGCAGTGATTAAGAGTAGGAGTACTGGTATTGGGGAGTGGGACTTGTCTTTCAGAAGAGCACTGTTTCAATGGGAAGTTGAAGAATTGAGGAAAATGAAGGAGTTGTTACAAACTGCTCCAGAGCTCAGGTATGGGGTGGTAGATGGGTTGTCTTGGGCTGCGGACAGATCTGGAATATTTACTGTTTCGTTTGCCTACAAGTGGAGTGAGTTAACATCTACCATGCCTGCAAAAGTGGTAGAGCTCATTTGGAAGAATGCAGCACCTCCGAAAGTGCAATTTTTTGCTTGGCTAGCATGGAAAGGGAGGATCAAGACTTCTACATATTTGCAA